GGTTGATAATTTAACCATTCCATCACCCCAATGAAATTCCATTGTTCCCACTCTATAGTCCGTAGTAACCGGACCCAATCCTTCCAACCATTGAACCCCCAAAACCACGTTTGGACCTACCAAAGGTAGTGCATACAAGTCGGCCTTTAAAGTGACCCCTTGTATTTTTATTGGCACACCCCGGTAAAACTCCGAGCATTTCAACCTTTCACCATTAGCAACCCTCACTCCAAACGGCTCAATTTTTGTGACATGCAAATTTAATTTATTGGAACCCAAGCTGGCACCTTCATCGTCTTGGGTCCTGGAGTTCCCGACATTGCATGGATCGATATCTCCGGGTCCTTTTCATGAGAGTTGATGGCTCTCTTCCATTCATCCACCACTACTTCACCTTCTGTGGACTCAATGCATTCAATGAGGAATGATCGCCTTTCTTTGCACCGATCACTCAGTGTGAATTTCTCATCACAATTAAAGCACAAGACTTTCTCCCTCTGTTTTTGCATCTCTTCCCAAGACAAGCGTTTAACCTCCGATGAAAGGTCTTTTCCATTGTCGGTTGATGTACTGGCTCCCGTTCTTTGAACAATAGAAGGAAAAGTTATTGGTCGCCTCACTTCTGGTTGATTGACTTTCCGCAATGCCATCAAGTGATCATCACGCATCCTAGCGGCTTCCATGGCAGCCCGCATGGTTCTTGGTTTGTCTAGCCTCACCTCCGTTGCCAATTCGGGCTTCAATCCACCAATGAATGTACCAACAAGTGCTCCCTCCGGCCAATCACGAATGCGGATTGCAATTCTTTCAAATTCCTTTTGGTATTCTCGTAAGCTTCCCGTTTGCTGGATATGTGAAAGAGCTTCATCATAGTTATGATAATCCGACACTCCGAATTGAATAACCAATTCCTTTTTGAGATTCTTCCAATGAATCCGCTTGTCTTCCTTCTTGTAAACCCTCGATAGCCATTGCCACCATACATTCGCCTCTCCATCGAGATAATAAGCGGCATATTTAACTCTTTCCGACTTGGGTATCTCATTAATTTTAAAGTAATGACAAGCACGATTTAACCATGAATTAGGATCCGTACCATTAAATTTTGGAAGCATTAACATAGGTTTTTTGACCCTTTACCTTCCACGGTGGTTTGATCCCCTTGAACGAACATCTTCATCCTCTAGAAATTCGTTTCGGTTATCGCGACCCTCTTCAGATTCGGTTGACCCTTCAGAAGATGATTCCGATGGTTACCCCTCCTAGCTCGTCGTCCAACGGTTTGGAGCATCATCCTCTCAAGTCTTGCCATCGTTTGATTCGTGGATTGAATTTCTTCGCTCATTGCACGCATGCTCTCCTCCATCTGATCCATCCTCTCTCGATTAATTGCCATGATACATGATTAGTAACTCTCAACGAAAGCATTAATGTTACGAAGCGTGTATCGAGTATCGAATTTTGTATCAAAACCCAGATTAAAGAACCCGATTTCGACACGAATTGATGCTTGGAAACAAGCTTTGGTTGTGAAATCTTATAAAATATAGTTGCTAAAAAACGTACAATGTCCAACACATAAACTAAATACCTTACAATCCCTAAAATGAAAAGAAAAACTGTAAAAATAACTGCTCCCGCCAGGACCTTAGCGCCGCTAAGGGTCATTAGTGGCCGCTAATCAGTTAAGCGTAAAGCCTCTGTCCCCACTATTCTTCAGCCTTAGCGTCGCTAAGGGTCCTTAGCGACGCTAACCCCTGGAAAGCTGCTATTTTTCTGCAGCTTTATTCTTGCTCGTCGATCCCGATTATACGCGTTATTCAGCTGACGGTCCTCATCCGCATCAGACCCATGCAACGTCCAGAGACAAAGCCCGACTGTAAAGTGAAACGTCAAATCCAAAAGCCCGATTTGAAATCAAATGTCCAGTTTATAAGGGGCTACACCTAAGAAACATAAATACACAATGCTTGGAAGCCTATAAAATGTCTAAACGTAAAGATTACATGCAGTTCAAACGTCTACACCAAAAACTTTTTTTTTTTTTTTTTTTTTGCAACAGAATTTTTACAGTTATCTTTGTTTATCATCTATATGATTTAATTATTATTAATAGTTACTTTTTATGAAATGTGGTAATAAAATTGTGTAGTTTAATTGTTTATGAGATGAATTTGAAGATTTTACGGGTTATTTTGATACTGACAAATACATGAGAGTTATAATGAAGCTCTGCGTTATTACTATTTTCTTGCCACTGTGAGGCTTATATGTAATTGGACCAACATAAAGAAATCGAAAGATGGAGGGACTCCAAAGCCAAGACAGAGAAAGAACACAAAGACCATTGTTTGTGGTTGTGAGTTCAGGGTAATATTGAAAAACTTGACTCCAAGATCGGAGTTCCATAGTTGGATTATGAAAAGGGAAGTGGGTAGACACAATCATGAGACTGTTGAATATGAGAGGGACCTCGACAAATGAGTGGCCTTAGTGTCGGAGCAAAAAAACTTATTCGGTAGATGGTTCTTTCTCGAACAATAAGGTATTAACTATTACCGGTGTTGACTGTTTTCCTTTTGATTTAAGGTCTCCACTTTGTAGATACATACAATTTGCGGCTAATCAAATGGCGCCACGTGAAAATTAACATATTAAAAATCAAGTCATATTTTCTATTTATATTTTAGGAATTTTTACATAAGTACTTCTTAATTTTAAATAATTAGTTAATTGATATTTTAATTCTTGACCAATCAAATAACATCAAGTGTCAAATGTTATTTCTTGGTAAATGTAACGCCCCGAATATTTATAGTAATTATGAGCTCGACTTTAGTTTCCATTTATAGCAAGTTTTTATTTATTTATTTCAAGTCTTATTTATTTATTTGATGCATTTAATTATAATTATTTGCATTAAATTGAGTAATAAATTTTAGGTCTAAGTCATGAGGGATCAATTCGATTTTTAATTCCAAAAATCAAATTTATTTAGCCCATGTATAGATTTCATTTTTAATTTGGAATCGAGCCTTAAAAAATGGAATTATTTTAAGAAGGGTCGAAGCCCGGAAGCCGATCCTTGGCCCAAACCAATTCCCGCGCCCAAGTCACGGCCCAAGCTTGGCCCAAAGCTGAGTCCAAGCCATCACTCGCGGCCCAATAGCCACATGCCTAATCCGAGAATAATTAATTCCGAACGCAAGTCTATTATATTTTTATCCTAATAAGTTATTTAGTCCAAGTATTTTTCCAAGTCTTCTTTTAATTATTCAAGCCCAAGCATTTAATATTTGAAGCCCAACACCATTTAATTCATTCGGCTCAAGTCTTAAATTATTAGGGTCTTGACCAAATTCAAACCCAAGGCCATGTATAAATGGCATTTAATGCCCCACCTAACAAGCTCTTTCTTGGGGAACCAAGATGAAGTCAAAGCAGTACCAGTACTGTGTACCCTCACACACCTAGCAAGGTGTGCCAGAGCAATTATGCACGCACGGGATTCACCCCAAAACGCAGAAAAATGAGAGATTGTAGTACACATGCCACTATTTTTTTTAATTGAAAATGAGAAATATTAGATAAATAAAAATATCATTAACGATTTATATTAAAATAATAAAAAATAAAAATACTAAAATTCACAATTTTTCATTCTCTATAAATAGAGACCCCATTTTTGATAGGTTTTTTAACATAATAATTTTTTTTCCGTAATCAATTTATTATACCGACATAATATGAACATGTTACATAATAAGATGAATATGTTATCAAATAAGAAGAACATACTACGGATTGCAGAATGAAATAATACATGTTCATCTTATTTTATAACATGTTCATCTCATTGTGTAACATATTCATCTTATTTTATAACATGTTCATCTTATATGTAAATATGTAACATGTTCATCTTATTATAAATTTTGCGTCTTCATCTTCTAATAAGATAAATTAATTGTGAAAAGTGATAAATTAATTGTGTTCTAAAACTTATCAAATGTGGTCTTTATTTGTAGAGAATGAAAAATATGAATTTTGTATTTTTATTTTTATTTTTTAATATAGAATATGAATGATAATTTAATTTATATAATATGACATATAAAATTCATTATCCAATAGAAATAAGATACGTGCCCCATTTTTTTTTAAAAAAAAACTTACCTCACATGTTTTTTTGAGGGATTGTATTACACAAAAGTCTTGGCACACCTAATTATTTGCGAAGTCAAAGAAGAAAAATACAAATTGACCAAACCACCATTTCTCCAAACCCTAATGCACTCTTGGATAGTATATATACATGCAGTCTTCATTCCTCCCCATTTTTCCCAACTCATTTTCAAGAGCAAAAATTCTCCTAAGTCTAAACTGCGTAGCTTCATAAAATTCCCCTAGCCACCACAAATCAAATTTCGGCCATTTTTCTGGCGATTTCCCGCCGGCGAACCCTAGCACTGGCAGCCGCCCGCGTAGTCCGCAGCTCCCAGCCAGCAGCACGCCCAGGGCCCAGGCCAGTATCGCACGCGCCCAGCCGCTCTCAGGCCCCAACTAGCGCACACGCCCGTGATTTCCAGCAGTCGAGCCCGAGCGCCCCAGCGCCAGCACGCCCGCGACCGTGCCCCCTACATCCCTAGTTTCTTTTAATTTTTGTTTTGAGTCTCTAAAAGGTAGATCTCACCAAATACATTTCAAAAATGAGAAATCATGGAAATTGGTGTTAAATGAATAGATCTAGATTTTATGAATTTTTATGCATGATTTTCATATCTTAAGTTGTAGATGTGATAGAACCGTTATTCCAACTCCACTAATCATATAAAAATGTCTTGAGGCTGAGACTTAACTATGAGAATTTTCGGAGATCATTTGCTATATGAACCGAATTTATAGATCTATACCTAAAGTGGATGATTTTTGTTGGCCGAGCTATAGATCTAGTTTTGCGAAAATATTTTAACCAAAAGTCGTATACATTATGTTGAGGTTGTGGTTATAATTTGGTAAATTTTGGAGATCAATTGATATAGTTTAAAAATCAAGACTTTAGCCTTGATTTGGCGAATTTTTAGAAATTGCATATGTTGAGATTTAACTGAAGTTGATGGATCTAAAATCCTTATAAATCATGTTAAAGTCACGGTTAAAGTTTGAGAGTAAAATAGTTGGGTTGCTCGGTGGACTAGAACCCTAGTTTTGCTCGTTTTTGTGCACTGAGTAATTTTAAGATCCAAGCATAATCACCCGTACCCTAGTGGCATCAAATGATTCTAGACGTCATAAGAATATTAATGAATCTTGGGTTGTCGGAGATATGGTCGGCCAGCCGAAGAGTCGCCGGCAAGGCCGTAGCCGCGCCTAAGAAAGTTGTCGAGGCCGTGAGCCTCGCAACTATCACAACCAGCCGTCAGCATGCAATAGCTGCACCTAGCCAACAAGTGACCGACTGGTTCTGAGCGAGCCGTCGGTCATGTCCAGTTGAACCCGTCCGGGCAGTCCAGACAGTTCGAGAAGTTTCCAATTCAACTGAATCATTCCGGATGGTTTGGGAGGTTTCAGTTCGAAATATCGGTTTGAGAGTGAACCGAGATTTAAGTATTTTTCTGAATCAAGTCAGAATTCAGTTTCGAACTTAGAAATATTTCAGAGAACTCTAGAAAGACTCAATACATAAATTTTTCAACGTAGCTCAACATTTTTCCAAAAAAAAAAAAAGAGAGTTAAATGTTTTAAAACGAGCGACTAAAACTAGTAATATCATATATATTAGCTTAAATAATTTTTGTTTCTTAAGGAGAGTCGAGCCTCCGCACATCATTGCAGTTCCATCATTTGCATTCAGCTATCAGGTGGGGATCCCGTACTGGGCATTTCATCGTTTATAATTGTTTTACCCTGCCTGAGGTATGTATGTAGACATAAAGTTATATCACCTGGAGGGAGGTGAGTACCTTAATTACTCTCTTAGGTTCTGAGGGAGCCGAAGTATCCTTCATGTTCCCTTAGCGTGTGCACATGATTTACTGACCTAATTTGCCGGGAGATACCGACCTAGTTTGCCGGGAAATAGCCAGCAGTCTAGTCCAATCCAGTACAATTCAACTATTTATATACTTATTTCATGATATTTATTCGTTGTATATTCAATGCCAGTTTTTGGAGAGCATGTAGACTTATTCTCACACCCCCACTACTCATCTTTTTTAGGTGACGGAATCCAGCATGGCGCGTGAGCAGTCAGTGGTGGTGGTCACAAGCTTAAGGATATTTTTGAAAACACACTTATTATGTCAAAAGGATTATTTAAATATGTTCGAACCACATGTTTTTTTTATTTTAGCTTCCGCAATATCATGCTTATTATGTGACTGTGAGATATAAAACTATGCATGTTTAATTCCCTTATCTCCATGGTACCTTTGTCGAATGGATTTGATTCGGTTGCATGTATTCTTTGTTTGAGTTAATAAAAAGACAAAGAGATAAAGCTAGTAAGATACTAAGTAGCATCCCGCAAGATAAAGATAAAGAGTTTTCGTAAATAAAGTTAGAGCTTCCGAAAATTAAATAAGTGTTTGTCAAAATTAAAACGCAAAAACTTTACTCTAATTTTAGTAATTGGCAGGGTGTTACAGTAAATAAATAACATATCTTCTAGAAGATCGAGATTTAAGTAGATCCAGGAGATCTTATGTGAATCATCGTGTACCAATAAATCACGTCCTACGATTCTTAAATTTGGTAGTGTTCTCTCTCCTACACCTATAAATAGAAATTCTCCACAAAGAAAAATAAAAAAGAATAAAAAAACCATCATAATTCATATTCAAGTTCAAAAGTTTTAGGGATTCCCTTGACGAGATTCAAGTGTTCTTGAAAATTCAAATGTGTTCTTGAAGATTCGAAGCAAGATTCAAATACATTCAACCTCAAGACTGACGTTTAACCCAGAAACAAGCTATCAAGCATTCGAATTACATTAGTAAATTTAAAGTCAGTGCAAAGAAGATTCAAGATCGACGTTGCGGTGAAGACTAAGGACTCGTATTTTTTGCGTTCTTGGTATTTTACGGAGTTTGATCCAAAATCAAGGCGTTGACCATCGGATTAACGTTAATTCAAGTCAAATCAGTTAATGGAGAAAATCAAGCCGAAGATTTCCCTCCAAGAATTAATACAATTCGTGAGAAGAATCAGAGGAGAAATAGAGGCTGTATTTCAAATTATTTATTTGATTCAAGAAATAGTTTGTAAAATATATTCGTGTTTATAAATTTAATACACGATAATTGTTGTTACACGCTTCTTAAAATTCCACTACCATGTGATTTCTCCATAATTGCGGCGGAGAATGGAGGAGCTTTCGCGATCGACGGGGGGAGGAGCTTTCGCTGAGGGGTTTCGTAGTCGATGTTGGAGAGAGGAGCTTTCGCGGTTGACATAATGGCAGAATGGGGGCGGAAGGGGGGAATCTATGTATTGAATTTTCAAGATTTAGTTGAAATCTATGTACTGAGGATAATTTCTTCTTCTTCTTTTTTTTTTTATTTGCT